TACATCGCGATTTCCTTCGGCGTCTTTCAATAAGTTGCCGCGATCGTTCCATCAATTTCACTCGTGGCCTGCGTGGCCACGAAAAATTCAATGCCGCGACATTTGCGCGCAATGCTTCGATGTATGAATGCATCTCGGATATTTCGAGCTTCATTTTTCTAGTTTGGATTTTAGCAATCGCGACTTAGCGAAAGCGTGCAGCAGGCTAAGAGATATAAATGCAACGCCCCGTATAATAGCCAATACCCCAAACGCTTAAGATAATTTTGTTGACAATTAACGAGATGAGGCACGACAAAACCGCTTTATTAACGGTGTTTTATCGCGCGCATACAGCGAGATTTAAAGATAATCTTGCCGGAAGCCGTGCATTAACTTATCGTCCAATTAGTTCGTAATTAGCACGTCGAGGCGCGTTTTGCATCAGCGCTTCATCACAACGGCATTATTCGCCGCTTCTTCGAGGAGCGCTCGTGCAGACCGTACAATCGGTGAATGAATGATATATCGACGCGATCGGTCGGCGCGATGCGCCGTTAATTGCGCTGGCGTGTGTGCAATCTCGCTCTAACAAGACTCGCAGCCCGGACGCGGAAGCGATGGACGGGCGCGCGCGCGCTTCACGAGAGATGCGCTAGAGAATGCAGATGCAGGCGATCGCGAAAGTTGCAGCGCCCGCCGCCGCCGTCGAGTTTCTACGTAATGACTCGCGCCATGTGCACGTGATTTTTTTCACTCAACATTTCTCTACACGACGATCGGCGTTTTTATCTTCTTCGGCGATCACGATTTTGCGCTTCAATGTCGCGTCCGGGCACGAACGACGCGCATGTTCCGCTTCTCTCATCTCTGTTCATTGGTAGGCGAGACCCGGCGTCGACCGTGAACGACGACAGAGGAAGAGCGAAGTAACGCAAGAAAGAGAGACGCGTCGACTTGGTAAATAACTGGTTAAATAACTGGTCGTTAAGGTGTCGCGATTAGGCGGTGAATCGACGTGATGAGAGAATAAGGCGGCGTGTCGAACGAGATCGACGTAAAAGGAAACAGCGCGAGAAAGTTTATTTTGTTTTCAAACATCAATTTCTGTAATCGTGCGTATCCTGGACTCGTGTCGAGTTATTCAATGGAATTTCAAAATTAAATGTGGTGAGAGGTCCACTTTACTACGGCGTTTATCGGAACACTTTGCGTAAAGATTATTTTCTGCCGGAAAGCCGTTCGGGAAAATCAAGCCGACGGAGTTTCTTTATGCGTTTGTCAAAAAGAAACGCGCGGGCATTTTTTCCGCCGAGTCCTGTACACGCGCGAGCGATTATTTACAAACGGCACACCCCCGCGGCTCTCAGCTTGCCGAGAGAACGGGTCGTTGGTATGTTGCGCCGGTGTATAGCCGTTTTCACGGTTTTCGAGCAACCGCGCGTGCCGCACGTAGCCGACACGCAGACTGCGCTTTAGCACGGTTAACGGGGAAGCCATGTTTTCTTGCGGAAGTGCCGCACGCACGGAGAGACGGCTCGTTGCACGCGTATGTACGATTCGCGTAACGCACGGATTTGTCGTTGCGTAAGTAATGCACTAATGCCCTTTGCGAGTTGCGCGCGGCACTTGCGGCGGTGTGACGACAGATGCATATCGGCGCGAAGGCCAGAAAGATCAGCTCTTGCGACATTCGCAGCTGCATTGCGAGCGTTATATAATAAAGAGACATTTCGTTTTGTTTGGTTTTTCCACTGCAAACACTCGCCAGCCTTTTCCGCGATAAAGGCTTTCCCTTCAAATTCTACGCGAGAAAGGCGGTCGATTGGAGAACGAAGTTTTCTGTTCGCAAGGCGCATGAGATCTGTTAAAGTGCCAGAAGTAAAGTATTCTCTGTAAATTTGTAGAAAATAGTTCAGTTTCATGCTATCGCATGACAGGACGAAATTATTCGTTTAAGCTTTATAGCTATTGCCGGCAACGATATTAGCGAAATAGCTTGCAATGTGCAAAATTATAGTCTCCTCGCGCCGAAACGCGCAAGGTCGCGCGTGTCTCGACTCTGGCAAAATGTTTCCACGTGAATAACTGGATATTAACGGATACGAGGAGCTGCCACGATTATTTTCCCAGATAACGGAAGAATAATCTTCTTAAATTACCGGAATCTTGCGTAGCAACACTCGTTAGCGTCATCGAAGCGTGCATCTCACGGCTGCATTCTGCGCTCGCCGTGGACTTCCTTCTTCGTGCCGTTGCATCCACGGTATTTCGAGAAATCCTTTTTTGAAACCTGCGCGTGTTATGAGGAAATGCAGACCTACCGAATCGAAAGTGCGCCGTGAGCGCATACAGCGTTAAAATCGCCTCAATCATCAATAATCGCAACGCGGTGAACGGAGTCCCCGGGCGTCCTCAAACATCATTAAATCGTTAAACAGTGACGATATTTTCGCTATTTTTATTTGTTTTACATTCGGAGGCCTTGAATTCCCATTTTGCAAGCGTAACTTCGGCGAATATTGCACCGATATGTTAATTGCGAAATAAAATATCGAACATGACTACGTTTCGCTTTTAAATCGTCTCAAACACGAATAAAAGCCGACGCGAGCGCATTTCCGCAAACTCGAAATGTGCGTTTAATCGATAGTTAAATTATATTCTACGCAGACTGCAATTATTTCGTGCGAGCTGGCTCGAATGGCGCAAAAAGGAAAAGAGACGGAAGTGATAAACGTGGCACGTACTCGTGGGCTATGTGATTAAAGGCTCCCACAGTCGAGCTAATCGATAGTACGCTCAGGTTCAGCGATCGGGATTTCCGCATGACCTCGAACTTCCTTGTAGGAATCGTGGAATCGATCGCCGCCAATCTGCACATGTGATATATAGAGCTCCTCGGGCTCGAGACTCTTTAGATCGGTTCAGCTTTGCGGCGGTAGGCCCGCCTACGTACATGTGGGCTTGTCTCTCTCTCTGGAGAAAGTCCCGCATTACTCGCCTATAATTCTATCTGTATAGTCGCCGTTCTTTCTTCATCGCGTACTGTATTTCCGAAATCCGCGAAAACCTTGAGAAACGCTCATGGCAATTACCGTCTTCACAAATTACATAGCGATGGTATTTAAAGGTCGTATTTGAGATGCTTAGTAATTATGCAAAATTGTAATGTACGGCTTAAAACATTTTTTTGCCACGCATTTTGCGCGAACAGTGAGTTGAAATAATAAATAGATGTATAGACTGAATGTTTGAAGTCAAAATAGGTAAAGTCTGTCTAAAAAAAAAAGTACAGTATTTTATATCAGACAAATAAGAGTCCGAGCATAATATATAAACTTTATAATAGTGATTGGAGCCAAAAATAGGGCAATTTTACTGACACGATCGGTGACGATTGCAGCATCGTTTGAAAAACGACGCGATTGGACGTGCTGTGATTTCGAACACGTGGTTTGAATTGAAATTGTCTCTTACGATACGCATGAATATGTCGCGTAGATGGTACTTTTTTCAATGCGACATATGTGATTAATTTCCTAGAAACACAGGTTGATAAATGTTGTAAAACTTTGAAGAATTGTGAGAATATCCGATCTGAATAAATTAGACTTTTACTTTTACTTTAGCTGACTTACATCTGCATTGAATCACTCATATGATTTCGCGCCATTATTTTATCAAGGTCGTGAGAGTCAGTGACACAGTTGCTTTCGCGTCAGTTAAAACTGCAGCTAAAAGAAAAAGCATTCTTGTGCATTTGTAGACAACACCAGGAAAAAGTACAGTATAATTTCGGTATAATTTGGAAACGCAAATTGTTTACTTCTATTCTTTTCTTACTTTTTTCCTCCATCACTTTATAATTTCATTTGTTGCGATGTTATTGAATGAATGAGTGCGACGACCACTTGCGTAGTATCGAAGTATGAGCTCATTAAATCTTATAAATATTAAAATATATTTCTTAACACTCTATAAATATTAAAATGTTAAAAAGACTGACTTGAAAAATAAAAATACAGTTATCATATCTGTGTACGCTTCTGCACTGTTATTGTTTGACTTCAAACGATGCTTCAGTTAATATCTTTTATCGAACATCGTGCTGAATTTTGCACGAAACTCGATGCATCGATGCGATTTACTAAGGACTCACATTTTTGAAGTCGTTCTCTCATGTCACAAAGTCATCCTCCCGTTTATCGGTCCATCGCAGGATTTTCCACGCAGTCGTTGATTGTCACATGTATTTACGCGGTCTTCACGAGCTGTACGTGTTCGAGATTAACATTACCCTCGCGAGCCACCCCGGACGTTAGCGATACTTTATTCTCTTTGCTAAAGCAAGGGGAAAAATTTCACGAGAGAAATTTGCGAGCCACCGCTCGTTCCGCAGCGCAGCTCGAGAGGAACGAAACACGCTTCGTGGTGAGAGGCCGGCGCACGACTGTTCGAATGCACAGCGTGGATTCCACTTGCTCCGGAATACCTGTTTGCCCACCATCATCAGGTAGACCGTTGGATCTTGATCTGTGCCAACATGCAGCGGTGGAATTCAAATGTTTTTATTTTTCGCCGGAACTGAGAGGTGGGATACGAAAATTATCTATGTTAAATCTCACCTATAACAGAACGGTTGAAAGTAAAACAAGCTACGGTCGTAAAGAAAAGGAACAAGAATACAAGCAAAACTAAAAATCGTAATTATGATAATAAAATAATAAATATCAAGGTGAACAAACTGTAGCTGTGGAAAATTTTGCAGGAAAGCGGATTTTATTGCTATTTTTCTTGCCATTTGTTGGCTTTGAGATAGCATTGGCTACAGATAAAATCATGGTGTTGAAAGATCCTTCTGACATTATCTTAAAAGCAACAAGATAATAGATATAAATTCCATTTTTCTCTGATTTTTACTTAATAAATAATTAAAATTTGTTTTTATCAGATATCGATAGATCGCATTAATAAACTGGATTTCAAATAATAGCAATATGGAATAATATTACGTAAAGTGTTTTGCAAAATTTTATTGTATATGTATATTTGTGCTTATATAAATAACTTACTATAACGAAATCGCTTACAAACTTGTGTATACCAAGTAATGGGATGTTTGTATAAATATGCATTAGTAAAAAATTAAATAATTCTTGCATTAAATTTCAGCTTAGCTCGTTGGATTTTACTTAATTTAAAATGTTGATCTTAACTTAAAACGATCTTACTTCTTACTTACTTCACGGAACATTATAATAAATCTGCCAATTACGATATTTGCGAGGATTAGTCAGATATGGACAAGCCGAAGCGACTCTTCGTGGCTCTTCTTGGCTCTTTATGGCATTAGAACGCAGAAATTGCATGAGTCCGTTCGTTCGACCTACTTTGCTTTCCACTTAATTCAACGCGACAAACGGAATTTCGAAATTACGAAAATGTTACAACGGTGCTGCTGTAGTTAAAGCGGAATGATCAAACACTCATCGCACAACTTTATCGCACGCATCATTAAATTCGTGACTAATTTTAACAGTGCTCTTTTTGCATGAAATAATTTGTTTGTTCATTTTTTTATTCATCTTTTCTTTCTTTCTATCAAGATTTATGACAGCGATATTTGTGACATCAAAAGAGTTTATTATGATGCCAAATATCGTAAATTACGTTATTGTCAACATTTAGTCGCGCATGATCAAATAAAAGCAGTCGATGCACTTCTGACCATGAATTACGGGGTCAGCGACGATTTATCGTGACGGCGACGACGGCGCAGCAAAACACTGGGCTGTATGAAGAAAAGAGAGAGAGAGAGATCCCGGGCGCATAATGACAGTGAAAGGATCGTGACTTTGCCATTGGTTGCAAGGGAAACCGGTGCTATTATGCGCGATTCGCGCTCGTTCGCTTCACTCGCGATCGGCTGTTCACCTATGACAGTCGCAAAACGAATATAACTCGGAATCGAATCGGAAACGCTTGTAGTTTCCGGAGATTAACTGTCATCCGCATAAATGATTCCATGAGAACTATTAAAGCGTAATTTATGGTGATGATTATTCTTAGAGTTCTACAAATAATAACCTTCTAAAAGAGTCTCTAGACTTCTGATAGAAGATTTTCTCGTTTCTATAGTGAAAAAATAAATAATTGTGGTCTTAGGCCTTCGGAGATTTCTTCGCGCGGACGAAGCTGCGACGCAGTTGACGAGTGTTACTCTATGAGTGATAACGAGCAGGTCATTGGCCTTTGTCGTTGTGAGCAGGACTTGAAACCAGTCTAATTTCAATCATTTTTATATTTTTTTATAAACTTTTCGCACTTTCAACTGCAAATTTCACTTCGCGGTATTTTCCATCTATAATAATTAAAATTATACTGGTTCCAATGAGATTTTGATTTTTTATTGCTGAAGAGAGGGATATGATACCTGCGTAAAGTTTATCATTTACGTAGAAATTGCGTTATGCTCCGTGCTGCGACAGTTTTCCACAGTCAAGATCTTGGGTTGGTTTGCAATTAGCGTTTTTGAGTCATCCGGGCATAAAGTGACTCTGAAAATAAAACGAAGCATCATCCTATGTGGTTATGCAATGAGCGTGAGAGATATTCGAATACAATAGAGATGTATACAATGGTACAAAAGATAAGCTGTAAAATTATAAAGTAAATTATAAAAGAAGTAAACACAGGTTGCAAAAACGCATTTAGAGCATTCGTAATTTTCTAAGATTTTGCTTGCGCAAGGGACAAAGTAACAAGACTCTATTCCAAACATTGTTTCATTGAGAAAAAATTTGTAAGAAGCTAACACTATTCTTCTCACTTGTGATTAGTTTCCAGATTCGCAATAGTCAGCGAGTCGATGTAAGCCCGCGGAGTGTGAAGCAGCCTCCACGTGAGTGGATTGAAGACCGAGGTTAGGTATTCCCAGGTGATCTCGACGGAGTTCGGCTTGCCCACGACGTCCCCGGGTAGTACAACCGTGTGCGTGCTACCGGGTTCGTAATACTTCGACGTCGGGCTCAGCCGCATTTTCTCGGTCTTCTTGCCGTTCGCACCGATCGCGCGCACGACGAACATGCCAATTTCCCCGCCGTGCGACAAACTCTCGTTCGTATTCGAGATGTTTATCGTCACTTTGTAGTGGCTTTCTGTTATATTTTTTTTTAGTTTAGTTCAAGCGCAAAGAAAGAGCGAGCAAATAGCACAATTCGCTCACAATTAAAATTGAAATAAATTATTACTGACTGCAGAACGGTCTGTCGACTCCGGTCATCAGGTACACGGCCGCGTGGTAATTTCCGGGCTGAGCGTCCAATCCAAATCTAGGGCAGTACTGGTTCACGCAGTCGAAACAGCTGCCCTCCTGAAACTTGTCCCAAGAGCTGCAGGGCACAGCTATGAACGGACACGGGCTGTTTATGCTCTCGATGAAATATTCGTAGCTGCGGATATGATTACATCCCAGAAATCTTTTAATTCCTGAAAGAAGCATTTGAATCTTGTTACTTAATTATTATTTATCATCTCTTTCAATGTTACGATGTTAAAAATTGCTTCTAATAAAGAAATGCGCTGTTCAACGTAAACAGCAGAGTGATTATCGCAAGATAGAATCGAATGTTTTTGTTTAGATAAAATATGTCGTATTAAATGTGAAAGTTTTAAGGATGCGAGATCGTAAAATTGAATGAGTCGGGAACTCACCGCGAAAGAAACTGCCGCGTTCCAAGGTAATAGAATTGAGCACACCCTCATTACAGCCGGGCTGATTGCGGCCACCGTTCGGATAGAAATCGATGTGTGCCACCGGTTGCGTAATGCCAAGGCCGCCGCTGATAAAAGGATTGCAATCCGTGTGAATGGCTGTCACGAATGTCGCGTCCGTCGGATCCAGTCGCACCATCGGCGATGTATTGCTGAAGTGCGGTTCCGCCGGATCAAGGCCTGGGCGAGTGAAATTGCAAACGTGACAAGTGTTAACGCAAACATTGTTTCGACAATCGTTCAGTCGCACCAATTTCGAAGGCAAAGTACAACCGGAATAAATTGAAGTGAAAAAAGAACGGATTTTGAAATGGGATTGAGCGTTGAATAACGAAGAGCGAGCGTATTTTGAGCCATGCAGCCGCTTAATGCTTTTACAGAAAATTATCTAATTACATACATTGCTTTTAATACATATACGTGATCAGAATTCTTTTTCATTTTATGTAAGTTTTATATATCTAAAATAAATTCAAGCGTGGAAAAGTGAATGAAAAATCCTTGAGTTATCGAGACTAGTTTTTAATTAAGTGTCAATGATTTCTCAATAAACGTAAGGAATGTTGATCGTCAATATTCTTCAGTAATAACGGATGTTGTCTTACAGTCAAACGTACTATCATTGCGATAGGCGTTTTAAATCACTGTTTTCGAATAATATAGTGAAACTAACAAGTTAAAACCGATTACCATGTTTTGAGGATTAACACGTGTTTTTTTACGCTGATTCTGAAACGTATAATTCTCCTCGCTCGACTTATAAAATATACATAATACAGTTTGTAACATGTAAGCATTATAGAACAACGCATAATACGTATCCATTACGTTGGACTGCGTAGACCGGAAATTGGTTTGCGGTTCACTGAGACAATAAATTAAAATTTTCATTTCGCGAAAGAAAGTCTTCGTTACGGCATTCTTACATTGCGTTCTTTGTTCTATATTTTCCAGAAGTGTGGCAAAAACTTCTGACGAAGTCATTCATATACGACGAATCGTCAGCGAACGATTTGCATTTTCACCTCGATAATTTATCCCACAACGCGCGCTTTTACTGATAATATCCCATTATCTTCTTCGTCCCTATTTGGCCAAGGCCTATCCTCCTGCTATCCTCCTGCCACTTCTTGGAGCAACGTGCTCTCTTATTCCGGTTGTTTACCGCAATCTCGTCTCCGGACTCTGACAACACGCTTCTCGCCACCGGCCATCCTCAACGCGTCCTGCCGGCCGGCCTTGCGAATCGCGAACTACCCCTCATTTCCACGTTAGGGGATGTCCTGTCTCGGGGTGACGCCTGGGCGGAGAAAGGGCGTCGATTCGCCAACCCTCGGCGTATTCCGCGGGTAGCTTTTGCAGCCATGACGATTACAGGTCCCGTCGTTGCCCTTGTTAATACACTTCTCATCTCCTCCTGTTATCCTGGTAGTTCCCGATGGGATCGATAGCTTACGTAACAACGAAACCCGTCCGCATCCAATCAGGTGTTCGATTTCATCGATTGTGTCGGGGGAAGGGTGGAAGTTTCACGGAGCTCTTCCACGGAGTTTTCACTCGATACGCCAACTCGTTTCCATTACATTTTCCGTGCCGGCTTACCGTTTCGGTGCATCAATCGCGTAACAAGTACGATTTCGCGACGAAAAATCGGGTCGACGACGCGGTCGGGGAAAGAAAAGAATCATTACGCGACCATTACGTTTCGAATTTACGATTTTTAATTTTTGCGTGCCGCGGCGTAAAACGCGGATCGTAAACCGTCACCGCGCTCGAACGGGCCCGTTGTCATGCGATATCGACATCACGTTACATAAAAGCCGATGGCACGAATCCCAAGAAAGTACAACGAAAGTATCGTGATTTTATAGTCGTTCTGCACTTCTGTATTTACTCGTTGCAGTGAATGGCATTGTCGCTTACTTTAATCCTCGCACGTTACGTCTTCAAAAAAGTTTCACGAATCTTTTAAATAATACGTTCATGTAAGACTGTAATGGAAAGTTGAAACGAATGTTCGAAATGTTACACATGCAAATATAAGGAAATAAGTAAATATTTTCTATTGCACATTCTTCGAATATTGTTGTATGCAGTTTCGCTCTTGTTCATTCTTGAATTAATCGTTCAAATTGTTATAATTTTACAATCAAGATAATAATTATTATAATTTTACAATCGTGACACTAATTGTTATAACTTTTATTTATTGTACGCTATAAGAATAAAGTAGCGTAAAATCTTTTTCTTTACTTCTAAATTAAAGTAGTTTTAAAACTAAAACTTGAAGTTACGATGGTAAAAGGTGGTATCTAATTTCTAATTTCTCGTTACCGTTATAGTTATATTCTATTTTAATTCCTGCCTTAATAAAGATCGCCGAAATTAAGATTGTTTGACTTTTTCGAGCAAGATCCTCCTACAGCAACTGCTATCCTGATCATCTGCGATTCAATCGGCTATCTTCGTAATGCTCCGAGCTGTTTGCGAGCTGTTTCAGCACAGGAGGCAACCTAATATTGATCGTCCAATGGGAGGAAAAAACAAAAAAAAACAAAACAAAAAAAACAAAAAAAAGAAGTACATGTACGACAAATGTTTATGATGGCGCCTCTTAAACGCTTCATGAAATTTGCATGTTTCTGCCATTCTCCCGTTTTCTTTTTTCCTCATTTACACTTTCAAGTTGTAATCTTCAGCCTCGCATAAAGAGGCTTTTGACACTTGTTTGTCGCAATAGCTCCTTCAACCTCGTAGAAAAAAGCTTTTAAACGCGCACATAAACTCCGAGGGTTATTTAATCAATCAATTTCTGTTTATGTTAGCATCATATAGAGAGATTTAATGGCAAATTATTGCGCAATAATGACGCACATTCTCAAAGAATTAATGGAGATTTTATAAAAGATTGTAATCTTTAAAGAGAATCGCGAGACTTTATAACGTCTCACAATTAATATTATAGTTTAAAATTATTTAAACAGGCAATAAGAACCAAAAGAATGCGGGTGTTAGTGTGTGAAAAACAATTTATTGTGAGAAGAATAGAAAAGGCGACAAAAAAAATACATAAAAGCGAAACATAATAGTGATGTCGCCCGTCAGGTGGTCACCCGATGGTTTTCACATGACCAACCGACGGACAACGTCGCCATTAGATTGAAGAGGGTCCGGAAATCGGACTAAAACATTTCGCTTTTATATATTTCTATTCTTGTATTTTCTATTCTTCTTATACAATAAATTGTTTGTCACGCATCAAAACCCGCGTTCTTTTGATTCTTATTGTTCGCTTAAATAAATTCATCATTACAAAACCATTGCTTGAATCAAGTTATGCATTAAATATACAGAGTGTCCCAATCCAATACGCTTCCCAGAGCAAAATCTTAATTTCTAATTTCAAAAAATCCGCAGCCAAAGATTAAAGGAGGTTTAATTTAACTTCTTATATAAAAGCAACAAGCTCAAGATTCTGATTTTACCTGTAATTCGTCCAAGCTTATAGCGGTATTGATTCCTCATGGTGTATCCGACGTAGCCGCAAGTGTGGGCCCCCAGACTATGTCCGATACAGTGTGTTTTCGCGGGCGAGATATCACCGATCTCGATTAGCTGAGCTGCCAAACGAGCCGTCATCGCACCGACCAACCGCGTGTTCGCCACAGCTTGCGTGTAGGGCGGTCCAGCACCAGCGATCCAATTGACAATCACGACACTGCAGTCCTCTCGTAACAGTAGTTCTTTCATCGTCCTCTATTTTTTTATATACATTCGTGTTAACAAAGCGTTTAACGTACAATCATTATACAATTTTTCTCTATAAAGTCAACAAGTTTTACTAAAAATCTAAAAGTATTTAATCTCACTAATTTTGATATTTTTCAAGGCTCAAGTAAAAGTTTGATTCTTCTAAAAAGCTCGCTGTATTGCAAGATATTCACCAAAACCCATGTCTTGTCGCCGTTGTCGAGAAATCCGTGAATAACGAAGTACAAGTTGTTTTTCAAAGGCGCTTCTCGGATCGTCTGGAATTGATCAATTTTCAATTCGTGAGGCTGTTCGGTGTTACGCGTGTACAACATGTAACGAGGATTGATGCTGTCCGGACGTGCCGGAAACGTTGATACCGGTCGATTTTCTCCAGACCAAGGTTTCCCGATGTAGAAGCAACCATATGGTTCGAAGCATCGCCACATGTACCATTCTTATGAGAAAAACATTTTCTTATTGTTTGTTCATTATTAAATTGCAATGCATGCCATATAACAAGCAATCTGTTTATAATATAACCAACTCAATACCAGTGAAAGAATTTATGTAATAAAAAAAGATACATGTATAGATGGACAAAAAGAAAATCTACGTTATTTTTAACAAATCTATAAAATAATAGCCTAAAAATTTTTTGTTAGAAATTGTTATTTTGCCACTGTATATAAAATTTTGGCACAAACAGTGCATTATTGGATACACATGTCTAAATTTGTTCGCCGTCCTTCATTATATCGAACATTATAATATTTCAAACGATGTACGCTATTATAAATTACCCTTCAGGGGTTATCGGTGCGTTCACGATATATCTTTGCTCGCAACTTTATCAGTTCCTCGAAGACTCCGCTTATGTTATGTCTCCGTACTGGATTAAACGATTAATACAGTGGCACGTGACGCTAATTGGCTAATTTATTTTTTCTTTTTTTTAAATTATTATTATTAATCGACTGCGATTCTGTTTCAACCAGATTTATTTCCAAATAAATTTTTTAAATTCTCAACTAATCTAATGTAATTTTGAATCAGGTTCAATCAAATTAAAAAAAATCAAATTATTTTATTATAAAAAAATAGATATAAAAAATAGATATATATATTATTTTATTATAAAAAAAAGTAAAAAATGCTATATATTCATCGTTTTATTTTTTTCTAATTCTTTATGGAACATAATTAAACTTCGAAGAAAAAAAATTATTTGAATAATGAGAATGGAAGATTAAGTAAAATTTTCAAACGCTGACACTCACGATCATCCAAATCGAATTTATTCTCTTTCTCTTCCGGTGACAAAGTTGTAGTGGTGATATTTTGGACTACACTGATATTCTTCGAATCTGTCTTTTCGGGTAAGGTAGCCATCATGTTGGCTGTATAGGCCAACACAAACAAAGTCTCGTTCAGAAACATATTGAAACGTTCTTCGTATAACAAGTATCACTATCCGTTCTTATTGTGTTTATAGATTTCTCACTGTGTCTCGCACTCTTTCGTATTATGATAATTTATCGTATTACATATATTGTGTTCCAAACGTCAAATTTATATTTTAAATATCACTGTCTCTCCACGTAGAAAACTTCGTCGGCGACGGCCAAATTAATCAGAAATCAAAATTATATATGAAATAAGTTATGTTACACTACAGTTTTCAATAAATAGCATTAAATTACATATCGTTTAAGATGTTTGCAGATAATAACAAAATATTTTTTTATCACTTCACCGTAGCCGATGCAATCCACCAACTATGAAGGATCCAAGGAGGATCTTGAGTTCTCGAAACTTTTGCGGTTTTACGGACCGTTGAAAATGAGACACTTTCTTGGAAAGTCTCGTAGAAACACGTTGCGACGTCCTTGGCGTCTACTCTCGAAAGATCTCGTGGCTTTAAATATATGCCTTGTCGGTAGGACGATTCATCACTGCCGGCTGCTATGTAAGACGCGCGATATCACAATAATAATAATGAAAAATCGATTGACGTAGAAGCACCGTGATAGCGCTTGTGTCGACAGCACTTCCGATAAAGTGTTCGTTTTCCAAACAAACGAAAATTTATATCGCATATAGATTCAGTCATGCAGCACACTAATTGACAGCATTATGTCGCGCCGTTAATATCCCGGTTTCTTTAGATATCTTCAAGTATAATTTGTTTATACATTTAAGTAATCTTCAATTTTTTTCAATTTAAATGAGTGAATTTTAATCTCAACTGCAAATAACTTTAAGCTTATATAAAGTAATTTACTACTTGCGCTTGCGAATAATTCTTTTCCAGATTTCCAAGTTAATAAATGTTTTGCCACTCAGTCGAGACGATTACGTAAAGCCGAGAAAGATCGAGAAGCTTGTGAAATGTTAAGGCGATGACACGGTCACGGTCAAGCGTTCTCGATGATCTCGAGTCTACTGATCGGTCAAGCACTAATCACTCAAATTTCTGCTGACCCGTCTGAACTCCATGTGTTTCTGCCCCACTCTGAGAGAAGCTCAACTGGGAGAGCTGTTCTTTCCGTCGAAGCGCTCTCATCCGGTTTCAGTGAGAAAAAGAAGATTGCCACATTAATTTAATAAATCTCTCTATTAAAAATGTTTAAATTCCTAGAGATATTCCAGAATGTTTTGGTCTTTTAAAACATCGTACCGTTCATTTCAAAAGTAAACTTGTGTTATCTCCATTTTATTTTAATTGAAAAATATATACATATGTATATTTCTCAATTTCGTCAAATTTTTCAATTTTCTATGGCGTTCTGAAATAAAGAGGCGCACTGAACTCGAAGAGATTTCAACGATTGACTACTCCGTTAATAACTGCAGCTCAAGACGAGTCATTAAAGTATCATTTTCACACAGATTCCGACATGGGGTATAGTTAAGAGAACTTCAAAAGCGCCGCTCTTTTTGTAGCAACTGATCTCTTGGAAACGCGTTCTCGTGGAAGTGGAATTTTTTCCCAGACTATGGAAGACGATAAATTCGCCGGTGGTCCAACGGCTCGCGGCTAATTAAACCGGATCAAAGCCACTTAAGTGTTCATTAAGTCGTCCTCATTTTCTGCTTTTCTCAAGTAATGCGACGTGTTCTCTGCACCGTTAAGGTGCGGTGTCGTCGGGACGATGCAATCGCGCGTAAAAGAGACCATTGTGAGAATTTCCTCGGGTAAGAGCAGCCTCACTTCTTCGAGGTCGATCTTTGTTTGTCAAATAGTTACACAGGAATGTGAAAAATAATGTAAAAAAATACAACAATTGAAGTTTTTACAAACTATTTAAATTCAATAGCAGATTCTTGAATAACATAACATGTGTGTTATCAAAATAAATGACTATAAATTTAATTCGAGTCTTCTATTTGTTGTACGCTCTGTTAAATGTAATTTGTGCCATGGCCGTAGAATTTCACAAGCTTCTCGATCTTTCTGGCCTCTGCGTGAATTCATAAATATTTAATCTAGTATAGTAATTTTCACGAAAAATTCTTAAAAAAATACCAGTAACTAACAAATAAGACGTATTTCATACGTTCTTCAATAATTGAACAAAGCATGTTTAATAGTTTTTGATGGCGATATTATTATTGACAAGTTTCAATAAAAACCCACTGAAATAGGATACGGAACAGGCTTTACACACAATGGCAGGACAAGAGCCTTTTTCCGAGGTAGGTATCGAACCGATCGATATACGGGTGGGTCGAGGGCCGGTAATGCGCCATAGAATTAGCGTGCCGCCCTATGGGGTGCCGTCGACCGGGGTTGCCTGCGTAAACGAAGCCTCACGTATCCCAGCATCCCCTTTCGCGATTCACCCCTCATGGTGAAAATCGCCTCCTGCCCGATCGTGAATCCCTAATACGTCGCACCCCAGAAACGTCTCTCGTGTTTGCTTAGGAGATGTGTTGTCAAATCACCCCGAGAACGCGCGGCGAATCCGCGGGACTCCTAGCCGTTCCTGCGGGCTTGGTAGCCGAATCGTACGACTGTTGCATCGTGATTACCGCGAAAAGTATGAATGACAGCTGAATCTGCGGTGTCAGGGGTTGCAGCCCCGAACGTGTTCCGCAGCTCCGTGCGCTCCGACCCTGTTTCAATTTTTCAGCGCGCTATGCGCCCGCATTTCGTTTAATCTGCGGTCGTTTTACAATCTGTAATACTTCCGCGAAGTGTACTTATTTTATGTATCATTAAAATTATATTGACTCTATTATATTTTTTATATTAAACATACGATTCGTGTTAATTCTCTGTCTTTCATATGTTGCGTTTCACGTATTCTTATGGTTCGCTAATTCGAAATTCGCTAATAAGTCGCGAACAAAAATAATTTCATTTTTATTTCATCACTTTTTAATTAGTTTACTAATTAAGCAACATTACATGCGATAACGATTTTACATAAAAAAAAATAAAATAAAAAAAACACGGAGAAGAAAAGAACGATCTAATGCGAAAAATACACTCGTTGTTCGCGCGTGGGCTGTAACAGACGCCATATAACGCGGGTCTTTAATGATATGAACGACAGACTACCGTCCCCTTTTGACCTTGAAGAAGCCCTTGAAACACTTCTGCCAACCCTTGTTACCCTGTTACATTGCCCTATCCAATCCCCATTCATTTACATGCGCCTCCGTGCAAGGCGGCCTTCGGACTCGGCTGAACTGTGAAGTGATTTACCTTGCCGCACCGGCGCGCAAAGCCGCCTGCACGAAGCGCCGTTCAAGCTAAATTGCCAATTACCCACCAGACCTCCGTTTGCATCGAAGCAAAATTACCCACTTTATATATTGTATATGTTACACTATATACACTTATACTATACTCTCTATATGCCTATATTATACTTTACATTATACAAATTTAAACAATGCCATTTTGACTTTGTATTATTGCATTTTATTTTTGTATTATGATTATAGTTTGTCGCTTCGCTGCATTATACACCGCAATTTAATCACTTTTCTACTCGTAATTTATTTAAATTGTCATTTTTTTCTAATTTATATATTTTATTTAAATAGATGGTTAGATACATCTCGAGCACTTTCCCGGTGTTGTTTAACGTTATTTAGCGTTCACTCAAGTGTTAAAATTTATTGTTATAGAAAATTTAATTTATCGCATTTAACTGACATTGATTTGATCAACCGACATAAACATTTATAATTATTACGACACGATGACGTGAATTTAATACAAACCTTTAAACTTTTTATTCGCGTGAAAAATATTTGTTCAGTAACGTGCGTCAAATGTATGTCTACAACAACTGTACTTTGCACCGTTAATCTGCCATCGTGCGCAGTTATGTATATTCTGGGCAATGTACATCGGATAACGAGAGGACGTAGGTCGATCCTAAGCGAGATTTTACGAAATAGATAAGACTAAAAAAAGTCAAAAAAAAGCGCCAGCAATCGATCTATATACGATGTATATACGAATATTTAATTGCTTAATTCGATTTGATATCGCAGTGAATATTGAGTAGATAATAATAATAATTTTGCTCTATAGGAAAAATAATTAAATAATCGAATAAAAATAGTTTCAATTAACGCAATTAACTTTGGCTATCGTTGTTGACTATCCCATTTGAACGATAAGAAATTCACGATTGAAAGTTTATCTCTAAATTCAGCACAAACAACAAAAACAGTTTTCCTCTTCTAAATTGCGCACAGATAAAATAGAAATCTACAAAAAAGGAATAAATTTATATTATTATATTTTTGTGTATTTAATAAAATAATTTATCAAAAACTCGGTGTAACGAATACGCAGCAATAAGAAGAAATTGTTGATTTCGAGAAGAAAAGATTATAAATTCAAAAATTCGCAAACTAAACTTCGACCAATCTTTTCTTCACTTTCGCGCTACATTTTCTCTTGCAATCGGTCTTTCGCACTCTTCCTTTGTCTCATAAACATAAACGCCTTTGTAGGGCCACGCACTTGGAATTGAAGCTTGTCACTCTTCATGAGTTCCTGTTCTACAGGTCGACACGTGCCCGTCTGGAGTTGCGTAACCCTTTGAACGTGCAATCCGATATGCAGAACCGCGTACTAATAGCGCGCTGTGCGCGCAGACAATTAGACTCGGTTTCATCGGACGAAAATAAAAAAAAGGATCGATAAAGTACCCCAAAGCTTCATTTTTTTATCCGGCAAACATGAAAACAGCGAAGCGAGGTGACGCGACGCGATGTGCTGGTTGTGCGTATGGTTCGTTCCGTATCGTTGAACAAAGTGAAACCACTTCCGCCTGCGCGTTTTACGAGCAGTATACTTAAAAATGCGGGAGCAGCGTGTTGTTAAAAAGAAGCGTACGCGCGAACTCCGGCTAGTGTGTAAAATAGTTTTCTTGCAACCATCAAATCCTTTGCATTTAAATCGTTTTCATTTTATTCTATTGCATGATTAACATTTGCATGCGAATTCCTGAATAGAACATAAAACGAAATAAGTAAAAAATAATCTTGATAACAATATCTAGATCGCAGATCTATTAATGCGCATGAGGGCATAAAATACTGACAGGAAACTTGATTAATAATTTAATATTAATTAATTCTATTATGTAAGCGAGAAATATCGCATTTCGCGATAAGTTTCTATTACGCAATTGTAAAATCAAGAAGAAGGAACTTTTATATCAGTGAGATTTTCCGCATACATAATAATATAAATATATACAAATACTTGACGTAGTCAAGCGAAGATAAAATATTTTCTTGTGCAAAATTAATCTCTATCTGTTTTGATAATTTAGCAATTTGCATCATGCGTGTTTTCTGAATTTTTCTTAAATAAATAAATATTATTCAGAAACATTGCTTGGTCCTTTATTCTGTTTCTACTAGAAATGTAGCACTAGAAATCTGTGATCACATTTATTCAAATGTACGATCGGGCTTTCGACGCTGTATCTCTCTCGAGCCGACTGTTATTGCGCCATCGCCCTTTTGGTAGGGATTATGGAGTAATAGTCAGGGCCGAAACAGTCCCCAAAAGACTTACATGCGTTTCTAAGACCCTGTGAATACGGCCCTTCGCGTGATGGCCCTAAAGGGGTCAATGCGCGACTCGTCCGGCTCGATGCATGATTATGATTCTATGACGCGCTCGGAATGCGCCTCGTTGACAAAAAGAGCCGACGAAGGGAAGTCAGCTGGTGACATCGATTAGGAAAGCATATTCAGAGGAGTACGAAGGCTGTGCTAGAAATCCAGCACGGATAATTTTTCTTTTCAAAGAGATGCAAGGTAAGATATCGACGAGAGAAATGAAACTCAATCCAAAGATCGTTCCGCCTAGTTTTTTTCCAATTATTAAAGATCATTAACCGTATTGTATGTACATGTGTATGTTATGTGGAATATATATTTGAGGAATATATAAAATCTAAAATCTCGATCGCGTACATTATTTTTCGAAACGTTGAAACGTAGAGAGAACACAATTCACAAACT